AGTGCTTCCTGCTTTCCCCACTGTCAAACACCCACTGAATGCAGCTGGGATGTTTCTAAGTAACAGCAAGGCTTTCCAAAGTCACCTCAACATAGATTCAAGTCAGCCTTGCAGGAGGGTAAGCTGCCAACCACTGTCCATTGGGAAACAAAAAAAATCATCCACCCTTTGCTCCAGTACTCACCTGCAGAGTTGTAGCCAAATGGAGGTGGTTGCCTGTTATTGTAGCTGGCTGGCTGACTTTGGAAAGAGCACAAGGATATGAGTTACTAAGGTCAGGTACCTGCCACTTGCTTAACATGCAGGGCACATGAGGATAGACGTGGTTGGACCCACATAAGTCCAAGTTGTGATTCCTTCCCAAGCTTGGTCACTATACCAGGATATCCCCCACTCCCAACTGCTGCAGACTGGCTCCTTCATGCTGGTTCAATAATGGGTATCAGGCCTTACCACAGGGAGAGGCTGGGCAGACCTGGAGGTCTTGCTGGGAAGGGCAGGAAAAGGCTATGCTCTATGGCCAGAAGTCCTAACTAACATCATCCTCCCCTGGGCAGAGATTATTCAGCATGAGCCCCCCCCCCCCACTGGCAACATCCTAATGCAAGAAAAAATGACCTCACATGAAGGTACAAATAGCTGCTTCTTCAAGAGTCAGAGAGGCAAAAGAGTATTTATATGTCAAACTGGGGGAGGCAGCATGGAAGTGGAAAAATGGAATGTAATATTGAGATACCAAAACTGTTCAGACTCCATGAAAAAGTTTTGCTTTGGTTTAATCATGTTGGGGGTAGGGAAACGGGATGACGACACCCGCTTGTTCTGGTTCTTGTGTTGTTGGGATTGGTTTGTCCATCATAACAAATGGTGACAGACAACCAAGAAACCAGTTAGTAGAGAGAATTCAATGCACCAGAACACAAAGCCAGACATGATAGTATACTTCAGCACACATGGCAAAAATTGCCATACTTTGCCTTCAGCACCATGTTTCATGTAAGAATTTTTAAGCCTTGGTAACAGGTCATATTGTTTTTATCATCTGGGAATAGTAGGGCAGCAAGACAACTGACATTACATCATTTCATCTCCTACATGACTCCCTGGGGCATTAAGAGAATGTGATGTGGGCATGAAAACTTAGTACCAAGAGCCCTGCAATTCAAGTTCTGTTCCTGGATCTGTACATAGGCTTGGGCATATAAATAAACACATTTCATGCTTTTGTGCATTAGCTCCTCCCTAGGACCTTTGCAAAGTGGATCTAATAATGCTTCTGGAAAAAATTAGTGGTAAAAGTGTTTGTGGATATTGCTGACAAAAAATGCTAGAGAAATACGGTGCGGTCCTGAATGTATCCACAAAGCTGGATATGCAAAGGCACCAGCAAGCTTGGTGCAAGCCTTGCCATAACAGGTTAACTTTCTCCAAAGCTTTAATCTATCTGGTCATTTCACTTTTCCCTTCCAATTTAGGGCCAGTCTGGAAGTTTTTCGACACCCAAACTTCAGCATTCTTTGCTCCTGTGCGGTCATCTGTCTAGCATACCCAGATATATGTGACCACAGATAGCATGCACACATCCTACCACTGATGTTAGGAGTTAAGCAGACTTAACTCCTAACATCAGTGCTCTCAAGCCTGTGACAGAAATGCAACATATCCTACTTCCTTAGCAAGCTTCCCACCCCCTGTAATTCTGCTCCACTCCAGCAAGCAACATCTGGTTACACAGAACAAGCCTGGAAAGATTCTCTCTTACCCATCGAGTGTTGGAATGAGGAGGGCTGGTGGAGGAGCCAGTGGGGGAGGAAACAACCCTACAAATAAAAGCAGAAGTGGTCACAAAGAGATCGTAGTCAGCTGACAAGACTTTATTAACATTCACAATTAGGCAGTGAAACTACAGTTCTGCACTGCACAACACAAACAGCAACATTTTACTCTAGTCTAATTTCTGAGTGTATCGAGTACTGTATCCTTTTACCAGAATTAAAACTTCTACTGTTCTTACTTCTAGTAGCCCTACAGAACCACCACAGCTACAGGAGTATGAATTAACTTAAATCCTGGCTCATTTGGCATCAACAAAAAATTAAGACTCAGATTTTCCCCTCCATTAACCCTTCAAGTCACAATGAAAACAGAGAAACAAAGAGCTTGACTATCAGGATGCCAGCTGATTACAACTGGAAGGATGGTTTCGTTGTACACTGAGCTCAACACAGCAGGGAAGCCTATTATGTTCACTGGGGAAAAAAAGTTTCTTTTCTAAGCAGAACTACCCTGCAAGGAGGCAGAAAACATGGTAGGGTATAGCACTAACTAAACTCAGAGGTGCGATTTTTGAGGGCCCTAGGACTGCTTTCCACCTGAAAAGGCAGCCAAATTTCAGTTACAAGAACAGGCAACTTGAGAGATGGAGACAACATTTTCAAAACCAGAGTACTTTAGAAAATTAAGTCGCGTAGAACTTCCAAGTAGCCAAGTCACTTCTGAAAATGGTGCCCTATATGCTCTTGAAAGCATTACCCATAGTTTTGTGTAACAAAATTATAGGCTGTTAACATGACGTCATTGCCATTGATGAGTAAAATGTTGGCTTGAAGCAGCTCAGAAACTCCTGTGCCAACTGTTTAAAAATCACGTTTAAAGAAAGCAATCTGACATTTTAAGTCAGTATTCTCCTCTTCTGGAAAATAGCTTTTTTTTTTTTTTTTTTGAAAGATACAAATCAGAGCAAGTAATAATGCTTGTGACACTTGTTCAGGAGCACTTACTATTGTTGAGCAAAAAGGATGATGACTATAGGTGTGTCATGCACCTTTCTCTAACTACAATAGAGCTGAAAATTCTCACTGGGTATTTTCCATGCATTTTCCCTTTTCAATCTAATTAGCTGCTGTAGCAGCCCCTTCAACCAAGATAAACCCCACCTCCTTTATTTCCAGAACATAGCTGCAATCTAAATAAACCAGAACTGCATGGGGCAAGTGCAGGGTCCTTGCAGGCTGGGATCTGCACTTGATTTCGCTACAGGTGAGTTTTGCCAGATCCAAGCTCACTACAAGCGAGGTTGATTCAATAAGAGAAAAAGAACCAGACTTGCAGCAAGAACCAGACTTGCAGCAAGACTGCAATGAAACAAGCATACAATGAGAAGTTATCCGGTTCTGAACTTACTCTCAGTTTGGGAGTGTTCCAGATTGCAAGGTTTCCATTTGTTTCATTTGCTCATTAACATTCACCAGCTCTGCCCATCAAGGGAGAGAGGATGTCCAATGAGAATGGCTGTGGCTGCACCTCATTCTCCATACTCTGCAAAAATCTTACAGGATGCATCCATCTGTCACTTAAGGCAGGAGACTTGTCCCTATGCAAGATCCTACAGTGACAAGAGGTTAGGTCTCTCAAAACTTGACTGGCAAAAGGACTCCTGGGTTAAAATTCTCCAGTTCTATTTCTGAGAAAGTCTTCAGAGACAAAAAAAAGACTGTTTTAAGTCACCACAGGCAATATTACTGAAGCAGCTGGAGTGGTCCAAGATGGCAAGGCTTTTCAGCATTTATAAAGCTAAGTCTGACTGAGCATAACAGGCCTCAGCATCGCTCCATTTCATACTAAACTGAGGGCTCAAGCCCAGACATTTGTGTGTGTTCATGAGAATCACTGCCACTTAAAACTAAGCAAATCAAGAGCCTACCTGGAATGGGACCTGGTGGTGGCAAACCTATGGAGACAAGAAAACAAACCTAGTGAAGACAATAAGAAAAGCACATCCTTAATGAACCCAAGGTTAGAGCCCAGCTTACTGGCATCCTTCTGCCGAGGCCAGGCATATACGAGTAAAGTCTGTCAAAATGTTCCCTCCTCTTCTTAGCTATCACAGAATCAAGCGCTAAAAGGAGACTGAGCAGGCTATAAGGTTGTCCATTATTCATCAGCACATAGGAGCAATGTGTCCGTATGGATTAGATGTCCTGAAAGTGTATTTACTCTGGACCTTCACAATAAGGAGCCAGTGAAGAGAGTGGAGTATTAGTTCAATGTACTTTTGCCGACTTCTTCCCGTCAGAGGACCAGCTTCCACGTTAGACAGCGTAAAACCCCACAAAGGTCTTTGCTTTCAGCTGGCGGCATGGCAGTATTCCAGCCCAAAGTGACAAAGACATTGATCACCATGGCAAGGCTCACGTTCAAGGGGAAGAGAGACAGATTTGCTAGCAGCTGATGAAGGGGAGGGGAAGTGTTTCAGGAGATGGCTGATATTTCTGTGCCTAGTTAAAGGAATCCAAAACTGACAGCATACATCCCACGGACAAACTGCAGGGACAAGACAAGTGGCCTCGGCGTTTGTCAAAGCTCCTCATTCTTTCTACTATCATGCTCTAGTTTTGCTAGGCATCAAGACTGTACTGGTGATTGGCAGCAGCTTGTAAGCACCTATCACTTCTCTGGCATGGTGTGTTTGTCAGAAGGGTAACATCCAACAAACCAATCAAATACTTGGGGCAACAAGTCATGCTCACCAACAACATCACAGAATCAGCTTCTTTTGCTTTGAAAAAAATAACATCCTTGATTTGGTTTGAATAAGAGGGAAAAACAGAACCCTCTCCTAGAATCCAGGGCATTTCTGCAGCAGCAGGAGGCTGTTATCTGACAGCAATGGTGGATTCCTTCAAGGATCTATCTTCAGTTAGAATGATCACCCTGTAAGCCAGCCAGACAGCACCTCCTTTCTTCCACCCCTCCCAAGGTGGGGCAGGAACCTGAGCAAGGAGATTCAGGGAACAGAAGTGCAGAGTAGTTCACGCCTCGAAGGTGCTGACAGGGTAGGAATCAGAAGCAGACTGCTTGGTTTATAAAAAGAAAGGTCAGTTGAAAGAAGCAGGCACACATGGGAAGGAAGAAAGGAATCAGAACTGGAACTTGCAGCTTTCAATTACCTTGCTGCAATTTTGGATCGTCTGGCCCCAACCTTCTCCTTAAAATGTAGAAGACTGACTAAAAACTAGTGGTCTTGCACACCTGCTGGTGAAAAGGCACCAGCATTTAAAGATGACTTGGCTTTCTTCTAGGAGACTGATTCGTGAAACACTGGGTCAAAAGAAAAATGAATGAAACTGGCTGTTCAGAGTAAATAGTTTTTCAGGAGATCTAATCTGGGCCTGCATCAACACACAACAGAAGAACCAGGAGTGGCAGGGGTTGTTTTTTTTTGAGAAAGGATCTTTTTTTGTCTGGAGAAAAAGTATCTGTGTAACATGAACTTGTGCTCCAAAGCTTATGTTGTGCTTCTGCTACCCTGGATAAGACAGACTACAGCTTATAGTCAGCCACAGTCAGTCATCAGTCTTCTCAACAGGCCCACTTGTAAAAAGATATGACATGCACTGAACTGATTCTCCTCTCCCAAGTTGCCCATCTCCAGCTCAAAGTTCTCAAAGCATTAATGTTAAGTCTCCCTGCATAATCTTTTAGAGATGGAAACACCATGCATCAAGAGCCCTGAGTGTAGAACCTAAGCCTTCCAAAGTCCAGAGGCCTATTCCAAGTAGTACCCCGTGATCCTTTCCTCCAAGCAGTCGCCCTTTAAAGTTAGGTGGGAAGTATACAGGTTTATCCTGACCACATGCATTATATGGTAAAGGGACGCCATCAATTGGCAATGGACTCATTTTCTAAAAATGAATTTAAAATAGTTTCAGCTTCTGCAAATACCCTTCTCCTGCCAGTATGAGCAGCTTTATGAGTACACTTTTACCATCAAAGCATCTCTCCCTGCTGTGCAAGTCATGGGATACAGAGCATGCCAAATGATTCAATACAGAGAAGAAATAGTAGAACTGCTCATATGCAAAATGTCACCTGCTTAGACCAAAATAACTCTCCCCTCCCATCTCATCACGCTTGACATCCTAGGTTGAACAGCCTCAGTAGGTGGAGTGTTCGGGTGGATACACAGTTTAAGTTGATGTCACCTTGAAGTATTGTGAAGTCTCCATACCCACCTAAAGACTTAAGGGTGCACAACTCAAGGATACTGTGGAGACATTCACTAGTTGCCAGAAGCCCACTAGTTACCTCATTTGCACTACTTTTCTTAAAGCACACAAAAAAGTACAGGTCTATATCCATTTAAATTTGAGGATATTTAAGTTCTAAGAATATTCAGAAACCTCCAGTGCAACAAAAAGATGCGTCTCATGTCTATTAAATCCATATGCTCTCCTACTTCAGGACCTAATCCAACCATTAACTGACCTGGACTAAGAAAAAAGGTCCAATAGGCACATTACCCCAGGATTGTCCAATATGGAGGTTCTGGCACCCCCCTTCTGAAGTATCTACTATTAGCTATCATCAGATAGGATCCTAGAATAGCGGGTCCACTGGTCTGATCCAGTAGGGCAATCCCTCCACTCCCAGGTTCCTTCAAAGACCCATCCTAATCACTTTCCTATATACTATCACCCTGGTATCCAAGGCTCAGGTGTCATCAGCAACTCACAAAAAGCAGAGTGCTGCAAGGAAAAGAAGCTCTTATTAAAAACACACAGATCTAGGGCACATGGAGGTAGAGGTTGGGAGAGGCAATCATACATGGCACCTCCATCTAAAAATCAAACTTCAGTGATCTGCTACAACCATTAATAATACTGGGGAGCCCTTTGGTTTTCCTGAACTGCAAATTGAATGCCCCCAGAGACAACAGGATGAGCAAGACCGCCACATGAAAATACCTACCTGGAGGGTGCAGGGGTGGAGGGACAGAAGTAACTGGAGGAGGAGGGTGCAGAAAGTGTGGTGGAGGTGGTCCAGCAAGTGGAGGTGGTGGGGGGCCTGCTGGTGGTGCAAATGGCTGCTGCTGGGGTGGCTGCTGGGGCTGTGATGGTTGCTGGGGCTGCTGCGGGGGTTGTGGCTTATTTCCATGATCTCCAAGGACCTTAACATGAAAACAAAACAGATAACTTGCAATTCTAACACACTGACACATGCTGCTGGTGTATGTCCTGTGGCCTGCAACCCCAGCATTATAGAGAAGGGATTAAAAATAAATAAATAAAAATCAGGAGACTCTCTCAGCGTTTTATCCTTTACTCTGGGGGAGATGGTACCAGGCCAGTATGCAAAGGAACACCCTGACACAGACATCTTCTCTAACACAAATTCCAGCCTGTGATAAGAGCCAAGCTAGGTTCAAACCCATTTCCCTAGGAGATGGTCCCACACCCCAGGGGAATGACCAAACTATCACTGAATGTTTGGACTGACTGTCTGTTATGTTATAGACATCCTTCATCCCACACTGAGGGACCAAGTCCAGCACTTATGGGACAGGCAGTTGCTGAGAGTTCACTGAAGTACATGCAACATCAAACGTTTGTGAAGACAGATCTAAACCATTTACCTGAATGGGATTTTCCTCCGAGGCATGTTTATCACGACGTCTTCCTTCTACTCTCCTAATTGTACCTGCCTGTCCACCAATCACGTCGATCGTCCCACCCAGCTTCCTGGTACAAAATAGGTACATCTCTTCTAAGATTCCACAAAAACATTAGAAGTGGCAGTTTCACACAAGCATAAACCGAGTTCTGCTTGCTGGGAATGAGTTGGTTTCCTTAAAACCATCATCATCAGCACATGATCAAGAGGTATTGCGCACACTACTGCCACTGAGAGCTGCTAAGACCATGAATACCCCAAGTGTTTCAGAACACTCTTGTTTACTCAGCAGATGTCAATGGAACTACTGCAGGGGATACAGGATCAAACCCAACAAAAGTGGCAAGTGCTTAATCACCCAAAGCCCTTGGTTCAGAGACATCTCAGACTCTGCACTACTTCATAACCAACTCTCCAAGAGCTGCAGACACCTTAGGGCCCACGGCTATTTTAGTGACAGCTCTGATCCTCAGACAGATTTCTGTCTCTCCATCCCTAGGCCTAGTGCTCCTTCCATAGAAAGACTACTACTGTGAGAGCTCTACTGGGCCCCACAATAAAAAAAGTGTCTCTGCACAGAAACAGGGGACCAGACTAATTTGGTGGAAGAGACAGACAAGGAAGCAGCACAGGTCCATTGTTGCTCCTGAACCTAATCTCCCCCTGTTGCATATTTGCCATGCTAGGGAGCTATCTCCGTAGGAGCAGGTTATTCTGGATTGTAAAGACTTTGGAAAAGCTCAGCAGAAGGGTATCACATGTAAGCAAGAAAAAACAGACCTGACAGGTCTCATTTCACTGTTAAGAAGCATGAAAAAGTAAGTGAACTGCTTAAATGGAAAGGGGTAGATATTAAAGGCTTTAGTTTGAACGATCTAGATTTGGCCCTTGAAGCACTCTCTCTAGGTGAGATGAAATCCTTATTGTAAAGGGTGGGATGAGAGTACTGGACTGGTCCCTGGATGTAGACAGAATTGTGCAAAGTCCTGGATAACATGGAGCAAAAACCTCATTTGCTTTCACGTAACCAAGCTTCCTAAACTCTTTACAGAAAACAGTCAGTTTCATACTGCCAGTAAGGGGACTTGCCCAGCACAGGCTGCCAACCAGGATCAGCATTAAACACTGTCCACCCTCCTTGGACCATTTCCTCAGGAAAAAAAAAAAAAAAAAAATCACCAAGTGTCCAGCTGATCTCATACTAATCGTTCAGCAGGCAGTTCTGAGATCAAGTAGTTCCCTTTTGGCAGTTGCCAAGCACTGGACCCATCTGTGAGCAAGGCAATGCAAAGGCCAGCTAAAAGGGAATTGGATCAGGCCTATGATGATGAGCCAACAACCCAAAAAGTAAAGGAGGGATGTGTCTTATTTCATCCCTCCCCTAGCACGGGCAAGCTAGAATGCCTGAACTAAGCAACAGGCTGGACCCACCCAGAGTGCTACACTGAAGATGCCAACTGGGTGAGGAAACGGAACAAGCATTCCCAGAAACATGGCCAATTCTGAGCAAGGTCTGCACGAGAGAAATTCAGAGGTGAACCAGCTGAATCCCAACTTGTCCAGTGTGCAGTACATGATAGCTGCTAGCTCTGACATGGTGCCTGGAAGTGTCCTCACCTGTTTGGGGGAGGCCCAGCCTTCATGCGCCCTCCCACGAGAGCCACAAAGTCGGTTTTGAATTCCGTTTTGATGATGCTGTTCTCCACTTCCTTCTCTGCATTTCCTGTCCTTCCTTGCTGAACCTGAGAGGGTACGAGGAGGGGAAATTGCATTTGGTGCCTTCAGTTACCAACTATATTAAATGCAACACAGATCCACTCTTGATAATAGAAGCATCTCCAACACAGAAAGCAGAACATCACCTGTAGTGATCTAACTGAAACCATGGTTGCCAAACAGATATGGAGATGCAAACTGGATGGCCTCTCTACTTTCAATATACATTTGAAACCCTACGGTTTAAATTAACCCGAGTATGGTCCTGTTTTTATTCAGTTCTATCTTGCAGAACTGAAAGAGGGATGTGGAGACTTCAGCCTCTACCTCACCAGGGCAAATCCTACCCAGGGACATGTTACTATCCTATTTCTGCTTGGTGATGCTGATGGGCACCACAAAAGTCACCAACACAACTGATACAGTCTCAGCAGAGGTGCCAAGGAGTGAATAGGCCATGGCTCCCCTCCAGGTTAGAAGTGCCCCACAGATCAGCCTTAAATCATAAATTTCATAGATATTAGGGCTGGAAGGGACCTTGTGAGATCATTGTGTCCAACCCCCTGCCTAAGGGGCAGGAAGTCCGCTGGGGTCAGATCACCCCAGCAAGATAAGTATCCAAGTATTTCTTAAAAGGTATCCAGAGTGGGTGCTTGCACCACTTTGAGGGGGGGGGAGTCTATTCCAGACTCTGAAGACTCAAATGGTAAAGAAGTTTTTCCTTACGTCCAGTTTAAAAAACGGTGTTCCAGCAGTTTCTGACCGCTAGACCTAGTCTTCCCTTGGGGTGCCCTGGTGAACAGATGCTCTCCCAGTTCCTGATGTACACTCCTTATATACTTATAGGCTGCCACCAAGTCACCCCTGAGCCTTCACTTTTCCAGGCTGAAGAGTCCCATGCCTCTCAGCTTCTCTTCATAAGGCCTGTTCTCTTGACCTCTAATCATGTGCATAGTTCTTTTCTGGACTCTCTCAAGCTTCTCCACGTCCTTTTTAAAGCGTGGAGCCCAGAATTGGATGCAGTACTCCAGCTGCGGCCTCACCAAGGCCAGGTAAAGCAGGAGGATGACTTCTTGGGGCTTGCTTGAGACACATCAGTAGATGCAAGCCAGAATTTTATTTGGGATTGCCAGCTGCGGCATCGCATTGGTGGCTCGTGTTCATCTTGTGGTCAGTCATGACCCCCCCCCAAGTCTTTTGGTCATGGTGCTAGTGAGTGTAACACTGCCAAGCCTGTAAGTATGATGTGGCTTTTCTCCAGAGGTGGAGCACCTTGCATTTCTCCATGTTGAAGGTCATCAGGTTTTCATCTGCCCACCTTGTGAGTCTGTCCATGTTGACTGTTCCATCAACTATCACTCTCAGGGTCTGACCAAGGAGCCAGCTCCCCAGCCATCGGACCATAAGGTTGTCAAGACCGCAGTTCCCCAATTTTACCATGAGGACATCATGGGAGACCAAGTCAAAGGCTTTTTTGAAATCTAAATACATAACATCAACCTCTTCTCCTTTGTCCAGGTGATGTGTCACCTGGTCACAGAAGGGAATGAAGTTGGTCAGGCAAGACCTACCCACAATGAAGCTGTGTTGGCTCTCTCTCAGGATGTCGCCTTCCATTAGCCTGTTGTTGATGGTTTCTTTGATGATTTTTTCCAAGATCATTCCACGGATTAACGTCAAACTGACTGGCCTACAGTTCCCTGGATCTTCCTTCCTTCCAACCTTCAGGGACCTCTCCCAAGCGCCATGAGTTCTCAAATATCCTTGCCATTGGTCATGCTATGATGTCAGCCAACTCTTTTAGCATTCTTGGGTGCATTCCATCTGGGCCAGCTGATTTGTGGATGTCCAGCCTCTTAAGCTGTTCTCTCACAAGATCTTTGACAATTCTAGGCATATGATTGCCCTTATCCTGTAGTCCTGCATCCTGTCAAGCAGGACACAGGACTCCTGAACGAGTTAAGTCTCCCAAACACTGAGCTCAAATACAGGATCTCCTAACCAAAGGACCTTAGCAGTATTACCATCCCACCCTCAACACCCCGCAAAAGACACAGGCTTCTCTGGGGAGTCACCCAAGTCTTGCTTTCCCATAGGGGTTCATACTAGCCCTGTCAAAGGCTGGAGTTCTTTCTTCAACAGGAGTGACTGGGTATGTCTACCTATACATATTTTGCCAGAGTTTATTGCTCCCTGCTGTGCCACTTACATGTGCCTGGGACCGCATCATGCTGAGCTGAATCAGAGCAACCCTGGCTGGCAAGGGACCCAGGGGAGTCAGCCTGCCAGCATGGGGCTGCTCTAACCCAGCTCAACATGCTGCAGAGGAGCTGGCTGGGGCACGAGTGTGCTCTAGTACACGACTAGCCAGAAGGTAGCCCCCACACTGAAGCACCTTTGTGCCCCAGCCAGCTCCGTCAGTGTCTGCATGTGCGTTGCTGCACACCAAAGAACTCCGCAGAAGCACAGTATTTGTAAATACAAGTATTAATCTGCCACAGAGTTTATTAGTTTCCTGCAGCCTATTAGGGACACGTGTAGAGACATTTACTGTGGAGCTAATTTGGCAACTCTGTGGTAAATGTCTCATGTAGACATGCCCATACATAAGCAGAGAGACTGTAAGAATTAAGTTATATTTTTAGGTCTACCTTTCCTGAAACAACATTAAAAAGGCAATCCTTTTAGCCAGCTTCCACTCTTATACCCTTACTCAAAAAACAGCCAGATGCTTGAATTACAGCTACATGCTGCACAGAAGGTTACCTACCGTGATCTTATTCTCTGTGCTGATAGGAGGGGAGGGGTCCAATCCAAGCTGAAGTCGTCGCTGTTTCTCACAATAAGCTTTCCAAGTTTCTTCATTGAATCCATAATTAAAGTAATCAGAAAGGTCAGCACCTAGAAGCAGCGCCACAAATTAACAGGGCAAGTCTGGGTGAGGATGTCTGCACATTCAGATTGAGCCGAAAAGTGCTTAAACAGAGCATTTATAATTATTCTTCTAGAGAATTAGATTTGTTCTTCATTTAATGCTGTTTAGTGGCATTGAATGCTGTTGCTGGGTTCCTTCCTAGAGATGGCAGCATCTTACTTAAATCTGAAGTTTTTTGGGAAAAAGGTTCAACACAGGCAGGATATCACAGGTTTATGGCCACTACTCACAGGCAGTTATTCACTGCCTCGGTTTTCCACAGGGGCCCTAGCTATTTTATCTATAATTCTGAAGCTGAGTCAAGCGCTAATGGAAGTAAGGGACCAAGCAGGTTGGTGATAGAGGCTTTCCCCCTTCCACAGCTTTGCCAGTGTATTTGTATTCTGTCCTGCACTGTCTATGCTTTTTTTCAGTCAGATTCACTGCTTAGGGCCTGCCCGTGGTGTTAAGCCAAGATAAGCTGGAATGTGCCTTACTGGTACAACTGGGACCACACAGAGCCTCACTGTTTGGCTGTGATCTGAGCTGTGGTCATCCAAGAAGTATCAACTCACTGTGATGTTTAATGTGCTACTTCAGCATGGACTGGAGCCAGTTAAATAGAAGTGGCCAGACACTCCCTGCCAAAGGAAATGAAGGTGGAGAGGGACAAGCGCAGATGGGACTTCACAGCAAAGGGGACTACAGCAGTGCCTCCTAGCACCACTGAACACCCTCACTATTCCAGCTACAGAAACATTTTTGGTTTAACCAGTTACAGAACATTAGGGCTTAGACAGACTGGTCACACCACCACTGGGTCTTTGCAAGAAGACATATATTCTCTCTCCTGGTAGTTGCTCTTCCTGCCCCATCCCCTGGGTATGCAAATTCAACCCACTCAAATTTAGCAACATGCAATTCATAGATCTGCTTTACCAGCACATATTTAGGCTTTTTATCAGTATTTCAATAACACAACATTTCCCCTTCCCTTCCCCGACTTAATGAGAATGACTAGCTAGTGGAGTCTATACCTAGGATGTAGCCCAAAAGGTTCTCTAGGGACAGGCTACTAGAGTAGCATACGGAACCATCCAATATATAACATAGGCCAAATTTTTCCATTAATTTTTCTCCAATTCATACATCAAATCAATATTACATTTTAGATACACGGATCACTCTTGGTCCAGAGCCAGCAGAACAGTAACGATTCCCACAGTTGTAGCTCTGAACTTAACTGGCCTCACTGCTTAAATTTTGCTTTTCCCCCTAGCTTCTCTCTCTGTAGTCAGCGACAGATCTGCTGAAGAAAGAGAAATGTGTTTTCTATTTACATCTGGTCTAACTCCCCTCCATATCAGAGTGCTTCGTGTCCGATACCTTGATAGAGCAACACATGTTTCTCTGTGTATCCCACTGCCCTTCCACTTCAGGTGGGCAGGACACAAATGCATATCACAGGCAGCCTTACAAAAGATACTACTTACTTGGCCTAGTAGTATTTTTGAAAAGGTAAGTAAAAATCGTTAGCTTTCTTCCTTCCTCATTATGACAAAGTGCAGGTGGATTTTATGCTTGGGTTGACAGATTTGTGGGAGGATATGTATTTGGATCTCTGTCTTTACAATTAGTTTCGAGTCAAATTCATCCGAAGAACTGAAAGAATTTAAAGCAGTTCATAGTTTGCCTGTAAGAGTCATTTTGCTGGAGAAAACTCACCCCCACCCCCCATACAGGTAGGGAAGATAAAAAGCATCCCACGCATTAAATAGCTTAAAAACTGCTGTGTGAAATACTCTCTGGAGAACTTGGTGTTGTGTAAAAGGTAGGGGTCAATATATTGCAATGGTACGGAAGGATAAGTGGAGACACAGAGGATGGCCTACCCAAGGTTATCTAGTCTCAGGGTCCGTTATATAATACTGCCTCTTTTTTTTTTTTTGGAAGAGGCAACCTTTTTCGGACACTAAAATTCAAGTGTTTTTTCCTCAGAGGTGCTTTGGTGAGGTTCTTTTTTTCTCTGAAGTTCTTTTCCTCCCAACTAATACTAAATCTGTTCCTAACAAGGCTCTGGACAGATGGTTTTTCTATCACTAGCTTCACAAACCCATATAAAGCTCAAATGAGAGTTAATTCCCAGAGGAGTTACATGGTTGAGTGCTAACTTACCAAAAGCAAATTCATCACTCCCTCAGCATCTGACACTTCCCTACATGAATGCTGACATTATAAAGCTGCACCTGGTGTGCCTTTGGGTTTGGTCATGAGGGCACAGAGCATGCAAGCTGCTGTGCATGAAAAGGAGACCACATCTCATAATGAGTCACACATCAATAGTCCAGTGAAGTCAAGATTAAGAAGTTCAACTGACTTTGGGATTGAATGCTACTGCACCAATATTAGAATCGTGTATTTTTGGAAGTAGAACATGAATAAAATATAAAATAAAAAGTTATCTGCTCTTCCTAGATTAACAGATACAGGTAGGTGCAGTCCACTTTCTTCTAATCACCACTTAAGTTTGCACATCAATAACTCAGGCCAATAAATGGGTCACTGGCAGCTCAGACAGGAGTTGGACTGTCCAGACTTTCCCAGCCCAGCCAGCACCAACTTGACATAAATTATGAATGAAAAAAAGTGAACCAAAAAACCCACTTAAAACAGCAGAAAATATTTACCACAAGAAACTTTGAGGCCCCACCTGGTTTCCTCCATGGTTTGTCTTCAAATGAATCTAAATCCACTTCTATAACAGGCAATCCATTTATATTCCCTGGGGCATCCAAATCAATACCTTTGGGCTGCAACTTGGCTTTGAAGAAAGGAAAATAAAACGTTACCACTTTTAATGCAATGCTTCTAATCCAGTAATCTGATGGGCAAATTATTTGATTTTAAAAACAGAGAGCTACTATCAGCTATGAATTTAAATAATGCTTCTACAACATCTATTTCTAAATGTAACTGTCTCGCTTTCTAGTAAAAAACACTACCAGTAATCTGTATATTAAATGTTGTTATACATCTACAATTAAAAATAAAACATCTGCAACAAGGGTAGGCAACATTTTTTGGCCAGAGTGCTGAAAACCCCACAATGTCTACCTTGTAAAGTGCTAGTGCCAGTACACCACAAAAACAAAACTGGGGTGAAGGGATACATGGCAGGATGCACTGCATATTTAATACAGTTAAAAATAAATAAATCAACGTTGCTTTAATTACAGCAAATACCAGGCTTTCTAAAAATTCAAAACCTGATGACAATAAATATAACATCATGTACTGCCTTTTTCTTTGTGATTTTTTTTTTCTTGTTAAGCATGTTGTGATGAGAGGGGGAAGAGAGGGAGAGAGGAGCAGGGAGCAGCAGGCACCGGGGGAGTTGCTGCCTGGCCTGGCCAGGTCCTTGGGAAGGCTGCAGCCGGAGGAGAGCTGGGGTCAGGCAGGAAGCAGGGGCTGTCCCAGGGCTCCAGAGACTTGGGCTATAGCGTGGAGCCCAGCAGCACTGGAGGTGGTGCCCACCCAGCCCACAAAGCTCCGCAGGGATGGGGCGCAGCCACTCTGCCCGCAAAGGGATGTTGCCTGGGTGGGGCAGGACTCTGGGCTCAGGGAGCTCCTTGCTTAGTGTCTGTGCACACTGGGTACTGTGCGAGTGGAAGCTGCAGCCGCAGGCCGTTCCCCGGGCTCTGGAAACAGCCGCTGCAGCCGGTGCTCAGGGCCAAGCCGGCTGGGAGTGTGCAGCGCAGCAGCTCCATGCAGTGCCTGCCCCCAGCCCTGGCTCCTTGAGGGGAGCAGCGGGTGGGCAAGGGCAAGACCCGGGCAGGCTGAGGCAGCCATGGTACCTATTCCCAGGCTCCGGGGGTCTCCCACGGCTAGGGCCTTACACTGGGGTCAGCTCTGCCCTGCTTGCACTGTGTAGGGAGGCTGATCCTGGAGAGGGAAGCCCCCTGAGCCCTGTCCCAGCCAGGCAGCATCCCCATATGCACAGGGTGGCTGTGGCCCATCCCTGAGAAACTGTGCGGGCCGGGCCAGACCCCACCATGGGTGCTGCTGGGCACCCCCACCTGCCCGCCCACCACAGCTCAAGCCCGCAGAACCCCAGGGCTGCCCCCCACTTCCTGCCCAGCCCCTGCCTTCCTAAGGGCCTGACCACGCTGGCTTGCCTGTGGCACCTCCCTGCATGCCACCCAAACCCTGTCCCAAGAACCTGGCCCCAGCACTCAGCACCCCAGTGCTGCCCTGGGTGGGATAGGGTGTCTGCCTGGCTGGGCCCAGGGCTCTGCCACCTGCTGGAAGCCTCCAGGGCAGCAACCCTGCGCAGCACCTCCCCCAGCCCCAGGGGCCAGCCAGGCTGGAGAGTGCAACCTAGGA